GTTATGGCCTATTCCCACTGCGTTTTCCCGCTCAGTCCCGGCGAGCGAAATTGGGGTACCCGAGAGCGGAAATACGGACAAGCCAGTACCGTAGTTAAGGGAAATGGAGGTATAGGGAAAAGCGTGTATAAGAAAAAATGTGTGGGTGACGTCCAGCGGGCTCGGTCGAGTAAGACCCCTGCTAAAGCGAGAGGGTAAAAAAACCGCGGAGAGTGGGAAAGAGACCGAGCATAGCGGAAAATAAAGCGAGAGGGGAAAAAAACCGCGGAGAGCGGGAAAGAGACCGAGCATAGCGGCAAATAATTTCGGAGGATTTAAAGCAAGGGTGACGAACTAGTGGCTCGAGAGCCACTTTGCCCCTATTTTTCTTGGCTTCTGTTTACTGATCTCCACAAGAAAAAAATTGATTTTTGTTGTTAAATTGTTCGTCGATGCTCAAATCCTTTACAGAAAATATAAATACAAAGGCCAAGGTTTGGTAAAAACTAACAAAAATATTGAAATTAGGTATTAGGGAAATTCTGAAGCTCCGGGGGTCACCGACCTCGATCACCGTTATGTAACGATACGGAAAATTTTCCGGAAAACCGGAAACCTGCTGCGGATAACGCTTGTTCTACCACATCTTGTTTCGATTCGATTTGTCGACGAGGTGTACAACGTACACCTCCCCTGGAATAATTCATGCACCTGTAGCGAGCCGCAACAACGCTCGCATAAGGAATCACAGCGCCGCGCCGATCCGGCGCCTGGTCATCGGGAATATGTCAGATCGATTTGCTCCTCGGTGCATACAAATCATGACCACTCCGAAGTCGAGATCCGCGTACCGCGAGTCAAGTCCCTTTGTTCTGTCCACGTTCTTCGTGACATGTTCATTTCTCTAGTGTCCGCTGTCTCTTGATTTATGCCTATAACTCGATACATTCGAATTGGTGGTCAGATAGTGCAAGTTTAGAAATGTTGTAGCGAGAACTTAAATGGTCTTGCGGAGAATGTGGTAGGATTGAGAAAGATCAGAAGACTATACGATGATGGGATTGAGATTGTCCGTTTATTCAAAGATGCGGCACGAGAGGGACGACGCGTGCGAACAATATTGATATTCTTGAGAGACTTAACGGTGATGATTGGCCAAATAGGATTCTTTATGTTTTGATTTAAATTTAGCATTGCGAAAAACTGACTATGGGTTTATACAATTGTGACAAGATATAAATATTGTTCGGTAACTTTATGTGAACATTCATGAATGAAAAGGCAAGGAGTTAAATACAGAAATGAGGCAAATGACATCATTATTTCAAAATTGTCAAAATCAAATTCATTCAAAATTGTCACATTGCAATTGCCGTACATTGTTGATGTAACATTCCAACAACAGTACATTTATACAGGGTGTTCCGTAAAGGGTGTAAGAGCCGAAAATGGCAGATAGGGAGGGTCTTCCTGAACAACAATTTCCTTTGGCAAAATGCAGAATGGGGCTTGGTTACCGAGTTATTAACAAAAAACACGGACCAATCAGAGCGCTCGGTCTACGCGGGCTCCGACTCGGGAGCGTTGGCCCGGATCCGATCCCGAGCCGGAGCCAACGCTCCCGAGTCGGAGCCCGTGTAGACCGAGCGCTCTGATTGGTCCGTGTTTTTTGTTAATAACTCGGTAACCAAGCCCCATTCTGCATTTTGCCAAAGGAAATTGTTGTTCAGGAAGACCCTCCCTATCTGCCATTTTCGGCTCTTACACCCTTTACGGAACACCCTGTATACA